GTTCTGGATAGCTGAAGATTGCATACGATTAATAAGATAGCAAGATGTAAGAACTGCATCCCCAAAAAAACGCAACAGAGCATGAGATTGTATGAGTAGGGTACGAGCAGTTTCAATAAGATGTCTATTCTTTCTTTCAGCTACCCCATTTTGTTGAGATGTGTACGGACAGGATGTTTGATGAATAATCCCATGCGATTTCATAAACTGCTGAAATGGGGAAGACAAATACTCTCTGGGCATTATCACTACGAAATGTGCAAATAGAAATCCCAAATTGATTTTGAATTTCAGCGTGAAAGGTCTGGAAAATAGAAAACAACTCAGATCGATTTTTAATCAAAAATATCCAAGTGCACCTGGAATAATCATCAATGAACTGACAAAGTAGCGGAATACCAAGGTGGAACTTACCCGACTAGGACCCCAAACATCTGAATGGACTAAAAGTAAAGGGCGACTCTGTTCGATTATCAAGACGTCGAGGGAAATGGGAGCGAGTATGCTTACCGAGCTGATATGACTCACACTCTAGAGCTGACAAGTGAGATAAACCAGATACCATTTTCTGCAGTTTTGACAAACTGGGATGTCCCAACCGTTTATGTAATAAATCTGGTGAATCAGTAACAAGACAAGTTGTAGAAGGAAGACAAGATATGAGTCCATGTGATTTAGCAAGGATAAGGTAATAAAGTCCGTTTAATTCATGCCCGGTACCAATGATCTGCCCCGTACTGCGTTCCTGTATAAAAACATGGTCATTAAGAAATAAAACAGCACATTTAAGTGATTTGGCTAAGCGACTAACAACTATGAGATTAAAAGGACTATTGAGAACATAAAGGACTGAATCTAAAGGTAAGGAAGGAAGTGGACTTGCTTGACCTATTGCAGTTACCATGGTTTGAGACTCATTGGCCATTGTGACTTTTGGAAGAGATTGAGAATACGAAATAATAGTGAAAAGAGATTTGTTACCAGAAATATGATCTGATGCACCTGAATCAATGACCCAAGACTAAGAGGATGAAAATTGGGAGAAACAAGTCACGCTATTACCTGTTTGAACAACATAAGTTATCTCAGAAGATGTCTGCTTACATGCTTTGTACTGAAGGAACTCAATATAATTTGCTAAAGAAACCATCCGACTATTCAAAACATCGGTTCCCATATCGATACGAGATGTCTGCTTATATGTTTTGTACTGAAGGAACTCAATATAATTTGCTAAAGAAACCATCCGACTATTCAAAACATCGGTTCCCATATCGATACGAGATGTCTGCTTATATGTTTTGTACTGAAGGAACTCAATATAATCTGCTAAAGAAACCATCCGACTATTCAAAGCATCGGTTCACATGTCACTACAATTTGTAATAGTAGGATTTAACTTAAAATAGTGAAAATAAGTAACTCCTGCGAGAAAACTGAAGAAATAGCTTGAAAAACACTGTTTACAGCATGAAAACAGAACATTGTTCTGCGCCGGAAACACTGTAGCTCGCCGGAATCTACTGTAGCTGACGGAAAAACTCAAAGTGGTCGGAATGAAACAAAACCAGTGAGGGTAGAATCGGAATTACCATGCGATCCTACTGTTCAACTGGAGCCTTTTCAAAATCTGGCCGGAACAGTGCTCACGCGCCAGCGCGTGGGTCAGATCTCGCCGGAAATATTTTTCTTTTCCAGGCGCATGAGGGCGCGTGGACGTGTGTTTTCCGGTGGGGTTGACTGGGGTTTGGTCGCCGGAGCCTGAGGAGTCTTGTGGTGGTGTTGGTTTTTGCACAACACCAACAGAAAGTGATTTGCTTACGGACAACCTTCTAAGTCGTCGGAAAATTGCACGGCGAAGAGGTCTTTCTTCCCGGAAGTCGCTGGAATGATGCACAACGACGGGTTTCTCACTAATGCTCTGATACCATGTGAGAAGGCACGGGAGAAAATATGTTATTGATATTGAATGATAAATACAATACAAGAGGTCCCTATTTATAGCTATACACTACAAGGAGATATTACTCCTCTTCCAATGTGGGACAAGACTACACTATACATATCTGTAAACTAACAATACTTATTATTTCAATGCTCTAAAAAGAATTAAGGGTAGACAGTATCTTATTTCCCTTTAGATTCTTTCTCACAAACCCTTCTTCTGCGGTTCTGCCTTCTTTCACCGAGAAGGAGAATAACATTCCTTCGGGATGAAGACTTTGCATTACACTCAGCTGAGAAAGTACTTGATAAACAGAAAACTTTATGAAAGTAAAAGCACCAAGTACAAGAGTCATACAAGAGATCCTATTTTAGAAATAGAATTTGCTATTAGAAAGCCTGCGGAAAATTAACTATATACTACCTGGTCAAATATTGTCAAGAACCGGCGTCCATGCATTACTGACTTGGATGATTTCAGCTTTCTGAACATAAGACGTGATGATATCAGCTGATATAATGATTTTTGTCACGTAAATGTGATAAAAATTCTTTCCATTCTTTAAGTGTGCAGCACAGAAAAATAGCATGGTTGTTTGCCTAATGTATCCTTGAAACATGACAATGATGAAATTGAGATCTGAAATAGCATGCCATGTCCTGTACATGATGTTTGGTCCTGTCAAAGTGACTTTGGTTAAAACCTAAATTGTATTATATGATTGGCATCTTGTTGGTAATATTTATGCCTATGTTTATGGATCAGTAACATGCACCGTAAAATGCTTGATGTCCATTGGAAATTAGTACATTTTATGACTCAGAAATTTAAAGTTCATGTTTATGCAATTTAATTCCTGAGCATTGTCACTATGATGTGATGTTTTTGGTACTAGTCCAACTTTTCCAGAATAATTATTTCGTTTCCTACTACCAATATATGTTAGTCAAGTTGATTTCTTAATCACCATGCCCTTTCAAATTGACATGCAAAAGGAGTAGGTGCATTGTATGGAGAGTTATGTATTTATATTTCAACAACACATCGAAAGATGGCTTATTCTATGACGCTGATCCTGGGTAGTTATGTTTATACTGTTTTAGATTAGGCAATATCGGCACTTGGAGGATGGTTCAGTGAATGTTGTAACTCGTGGGCAACAGCGTTTTCGTTTGAGGCGCCGCTGGATGGATGTGGAGGGATCAGTAAGTGTACAGCAAATATTATAATATTTATGAAAAAATAGGATATCCTTATCTTTAAATCCTAACAATTTCATGTTCCGTTGCACCTTTTTATCTAGCCTTGTGGGGAGATACAAATCATCAACGAAGATTTGCCATTGAGAACACCCAGGGAGGCTGTTGGAAGATTGGCACCATTAAGTATCCTTAGATCTGGTGTACATAATCAAATGCCACCTATAAATGGCTCTCGAGCTGACCAATATGGCCTTGGGAATGAAAATGATTCGGATGCAATGTCAGAGGAAAGTTTTGAGAGTGAACTTTCACCCACAGAAAGGAGGTTGCACCAGTCTGCTCTTGTTTCTTCTGATATGCTTGACGACTCAACAAGCAGTGATGATGAGAATATTGAGCAGCAGTCTCATATTCAACCTGCGAGATCTCCTTTTGATAATTTTCGGTCTTTCAGCACGGGAAAAAACAGAGAGGCTGTTGGCGTGAGGCTGGCTTTAGGGAAAAGGTCTATGCCAACTCACAAGAATGACACATGGAAAAAGTATTCTTTAAACCAGTTTCGTGAAGTTCCAAGGGCCTTCTGGCCCAGTTGGGTTTACCAGATGTACGATTCATACTCTCTTGCTCAAAGGGCAGCAGGTCGTGTGGTCTTCACTTTCTCTTTTTAGAAAATTATGGATGATTAATGTTCCAAATTTGATCACACTAGTTTGGATTCTATATAGCTGCACTATGACATTGAAATATTGGGTGAAAAGATCCTTGCTTCCTTTTCTCATCTGTTAAAATCAGTTTAGAAAAAAAAACAATAGGCTAGAAGATGGGTATTTTAATCAAAATTTACATCATGCTATATGTGATTTATGCGAGGGACTCATCTTTGCTTAACACTGACTCACTGAGCTATCCACTTGTCTTAGATGGTAATCGCCTGATTTTTCACAAAAATCATGGCTAGACTGATCTATAAAAATCTGAACTTTTTTTTCTCTGTTATCTCTGTACTTTTGTGGTCTCAATTGCACTTTGATAATTTTATTCTTCTGGTGTTTTCTCGTCTTTGATTCCAGTGGATCATTTGAATAAGAAGTTAGATTCTCCGTGGAATTGAGATGGTTTTGAGTAACATTGAGTTGAAATTTTGCAGGCCGATGGAAACAGATAGTTAGGGCACCAAGCATGGACAGTTACGTAACGAAGCCAGATCTTCTTTCATTTCATATTGCAAGTAAGATGCCCGTGTCAGTATCAACAAGGCAAGAGCTTTTGGAGATTGATGGAATATCCTATAGACTGAGACGGGAAATTGAACTCCTTGAGAGTTTTGACTGCATTCGATGTAAAACTTGTGAGGTAATGCAGAAAATGACACTACTGCTATTCTGCTGTTTTAAATAACTAAATATTGTGTTGCCAATTCTTGTCTCTTTTCCTCCTTGTAGCTTCTAATTGCCAGACGAACCGATATGTTGGTGATGTCTAGTGAGGGTCCCCTCGGAGCTTACGTTAATCCACATGGTTTTGTGCATGAGATAATGACACTGTTTAAAGCTAATGGGTTGGCTGTTATTGGCAATCCTGTTAAAGAATACAGCTGGTTTCCTGGGTAAGTTTTTTCAGTTGGCTGATTTTTACAGTCAATCATGTCAATTATTTTCATAATTGGACCTTGTTTGACCAGAATGCATGAGTAAATGGGTGTTTCTAATCCTCACTAAGGTGTCAAATGGGGGCACTTTGAAGACATCAGTGCCCAACAACTTTTGCGAGGGAAAGCAAAGTGTAACCAGTAGTTAGAGCCATCTTTCATTAAACTTCATCATTTGCTTATAGCTTCTTGTTCACCCATCTGGAATACGAGAAAGGACTACCTTCCTGCATTTATTGGCAATCTTTCTGCCGGATATCGATAATGAAGTATGGGGATTTGATATTTTAAGGGTAAATTGCAATCATGTCTTCATACTTATCCAAGAAGGAAATACTCTGGTTGCTGCTTAAAACCTTTGCAATAAGATATGATATGTCGGTTGCTATATCACACAATCTCTGTGTGAAGAGATTGGATAAGTAAGAATTGATTTTCTTGTAGGTACGCCTGGTCAATTGCTGAATGTGCCTCTTGTGAAACTCAATTGGGATGGCTGTTTACTGCTACGAAGAAGAAGCTTAAACCCAGGTCATTTTGGGGCATTAGGAGTTCTCAAGTTGCAGATGAGTCGCATTAAAATTCTAATGTGTTGTTTGCTTATAGCTATTTCTTTGGCTGGTCTTGTAAATTTGGAAGCTAACTTTTAATGTAGAGCTTTTGTACTTAGATAATAGCTCTTTCCTAGCCAATCTGGGATATAACAATTTTGTTTTTTCTTGAAAATATGTTCCTAATTCTGTTTGGGGGTAAAAGTTAGACTCTTGGCTTGCATATTAGACATCAGGACCTCAGGTTTGAATGTTTGGAGCGGTATTTGACATTATTACAAGAAGACATATTGAGAGATGTAGTAAGAATTTTGGAGAGATAGAACTATTCGTTGTAAAACATGAACTCTTCTACCTTAATGTTATGATGAGTAACGGGGTTATGGAGTATAGCAGCAAGAGTGAAGGATATTTATGGAGTATTGTGCGAGTAATGCTTTTCTCATGAAAAGCTTACCAAGAAAAAATCTATTGAGAAAACATTTTAGCTCATTGAAGCGTGTCACGTCAGGTTGAGGCAAAAAAAAGTATCAGATAAAAAATCCTTATTATGCTACCATACCTCTTC